CCTTTGTTTTATCACAAAACCGGATAACAACCTCTGTCCGGTGAAGTCCACGACACATATTGCATGTTACAGACAGTTACATTAGCTACAGCATGGTTAAGCAAGTTAATGTTTCCGAAATTTTGGGACCACTGAACAACTATTGAATTAGAACCACAGAGAGTTACCGCAAGTCTCAAAGAAAACAAGAGTTGCCTCCACTATTCCAGCACCATTTCAACTTTAACATTTCAACATCATCAAATCACCTCTCCTTAGTCTAATACAGTGACAACTAAAAGATACCAAAAACAATTTAGTCCAATCAACGTGAGCTAAATATGATGTGGCTGTCCATGGTTCTGATTTCTGTGTGTGTGTGTGTGTGTGCGTGCAAGTTTGTGCAAGTAGAAACACATGTTGACTCACCCTGCTTGTAGAGAAACGCCAATGCCATCCTCCTCTCTTTCATGTTGACGAAATAGTCTATCACTACTTTGTCATACAGTACACGCTTTTATTTTTTGTTGTCCTAGGCGACCTGGCTAAAATGCTTGCTCGCTAGCCTAACTTCCATTCATGGCAACGTTAGCTAGTTAACATTAGCCTTCTACATCTAGCTACATATTGAACTTCCATCCTCTCAGGCCAGGGGCACAACAATGTATGGATTAATGGTTGGATCAGAATCACCGTTATAATCATTGGCCAGTACGGAGAATTAAGTAAAACCACAAGCCCAAATCCCTATCTCCATTCATGGCTGCTTAAGGAAAAGGACAATTTTAGCCAGCTGGCTAGCTAGCCATCGAAGCACAACAACACAATGACATATGGTTTCAATTGGATTTGATAGGAGTGACGCCAAATCCAAGCTGGCTTCCCATAACACTTTTTTTTGGTGAGCCAGGACCATTCACAGTTCAGCTCGCTTAGTTTAGCTCAACGCTGATTGGCAAATTTGTAATACTTTTTCAGTCAAGGGAGGCCATATGCTCGTTGGCTTCCCTTGCCTTCAATGCTATGGGCGGCAACAATGTCATACTCGTTTGGACCAGACAGCATCAGATAGATGGCCTACACGTAGAGAGACAGAGGGGCGCTGTTTCGCTCGCTCAAATGCTTTCTCCTGTGAGATACCTTCAGCCTCTTGCGAATTAAAGGAAAATTATGAAACACAGAGAGACTAAATATATATATACAGTGGGGAGAACAAGTATTTGATACACTGCCGATTTTGCAGGTTTTCCTACTTACAAAGCATGTAGAGGTCTGTAATTTTTTATCATAGGTACACTTCAACTGTGAGAGACAGAATCTAAAACAAAAATCCAGAAAATCACATTGTATGACTTTTAAGTAATTAATTTGCATTTTAGTGCATGACATAAGTATTTGATCACCTACCAACCAGTAAGAATTCCGGCTCTCACAGACCTGTTAGTTTTTCTTTAACAAGCCCTCCTGTTCTCCACTCATTACCTGTATTAACTGCACCTGTTTGAACTCGTTACCTGTATAAAAGACACCTGTCCACACACTCAATCAAACAGACTCCAACCTCTCCACAATGGCCAAGACCAGAGAGCTGTGTAAGGACATCAGGGATAAAATTGTAGACCTGCACAAGGCTGGGATGGGCTACAGGACAATAGGCAAGCAGCTTGGTCAGAAGGCAACAACTGTTGGCTCAATTATTAGAAAATGGAAGAAGTTCAAGATGACGGTCAATCACCCTCGGTCTGGGGCTCCATGCAAGATCTCACCTCGTGGGGCATCAATGATCATGAGGAAGGTGAGGGATCAGCCCAGAACTACACGGCAGGACCTGGTCAATGACCTGAAGAGAGCTGGGACCACAGTCGCAAAGAAAACCATTAGTAACACACTACGCCGTCATGGATTAAAATCCTGCAGAGCACGCAAGGTCCCCCTGCTCAAGCCAGCGCATTTCCAGGCCCGTCTGAAGTTTGCCAATGACCATCTGGATGATCCAGAGGAGGAATGGGAGAAGGTCATGTGGTCTGATGAGACAAAAATAGAGCTTTTTGGTCTAAACTCCACTCGCCGTGTTTGGAGGAAGAAAAAGGATGAATACAACCCCAAGAACACCATCCCAACCATGAAGCATGGAGGTGGAAACATCATTCTTTGGGGATGCTTTTCTGCAAAGGGGACAGGACGACTGCACCGTATTGAGGGGAGGATGGATGGGGCCATGTATCGCGAGATCTTGGCCAACAACCTCCTTCCCTCAGTAAGAGCATTGAAGATGGGTCGTGGTTGGGTCTTCCAGCATGACAACGACCCGAAACACACAGCCAGGGCAACTAAGGAGTGGCTCCGTAAGAAGCATCTCAAGGTCCTGGAGTGGCCTAGCCAGTCTCCAGACCTGAACCCAATAGAAAATCTTTGGAGGGAGCTGAAAGTCTGTATTGCCCAGCGACAGCCCCGAAACCTGAAGGATCTGGAGAAGGTCTGTATGGAGGAGTGGGCCAAAATCCCTGCTGCAGTGTGTGCAAACCTGGTCAAGACCTACAGGAAACGTATGATCTCTGTAATTGCAAACAAAGGTTTCTGTACCAAATATTAAGTTCTGCTTTTCTGATGTATCAAATACTTATGTCATGCAATAACATGCAAATTAATTACTTAAAAATCATATAATGTGATTTTCTGGATTTTTGTTTTAGATTCCGTCTCTCACAGTTGAAGTGTACCTATGATAAAAATTACAGACCTCTACATGGTTTGTAAGTAGGAAAACCTGCAAAATCGGCAGTGTATCAAATACTTGTTCTCCCCACTGTATATATTTTTGTTTTTTGTCAATTTTTTGGGGAAGCCTGGCTTCCCTTGGCATCCATGAATACACACCACTGTGTGTAACTAAATCAAGCCATTCGGCATTGAGTTAATATAGAATCAGTTTGAATTAAATTGTAGTCTCATCAAATTATTTTTAATGACACAACTTATATTCTTATTATGTTGACATTTAAGATAAAATGTTTTGTAGGAAATATGACCTCATATTCGTACAATAAGTATTTTATATACATTTCCAGCCTTGCGATCTTTATTGTTTCTGTTAAGTTGATATTTAATTGGAGCCGGGAGTTTCAGACTCATTTGACACATTAACAACATGCGATCAACTGATCTGCTGGGTTATTGTTTTTGGTTGCAAGCAAGTTTGTTTCCCTTTAGTAGCGTTTTAAGAAATCCAGCACTAAGAGACAATTTATGCATGATCTGAAAATAGCTTCGTGTTGATATGATTGGTTGATGGTAGGTGGGGGCGGGAGGTCCTGTATAAACATAAACTCACTTTCTTGACAACTTCCTTCACAACAGCTCTGTGCTGCTCTGCGAAGCGTAAGAAGTATGAATGCCCTGACTTCTGCAGAGGCCGTATCACCGTAAATGCTACACGGCCAATGCAGATGTCAGATTGACCATGCAGTGCCTTTAATGAGCCGCTATGCAGTTCTGCCCATTGGTTGCAATTGACCCACATGGTTCAATATTAGCCTACCTTCATACTCTAAACAGGACAGTGTTTGGTAGGGGGTTGTGGACCCTAAGCACTGGTCTGAGGCCAGTAATGTGCTTTCACAAACAGCAAACAAGCAGACTTTGAGTTTTTGAAAAGCGTATTACAATAAAATGTATTAATAATAATAATAATAATAATAATAATAATAATAATAATAATAATTGACCATACACATACTACGGTCGCGTTTGACTGCATTGGCTGTTGAGCTATACACAAATTAAATTGTGTTTGTTGGTCTGGTTACGTAACACTTTTCCCTATACCAAAAGGCATTGTATTTAGTGAAACACTCCTTCATCCACCCCCGTAGATTACAGTGACCGCGTTGCGTGTTACTTTAGTCCACAACAGAGCTGCTGTCACTGATGAAGCATGACTTCTCAGCCCCATCTTGATAGATGACACAAAACACAGCTGGCTGTTTCCCCCTACACCCTTTAACCTCCTTTGATCTGCATGGAAAATCAGATCATTTCCAGTCAGGCGGCCATTGTATGGCACAATTAAGACACCTGCTGGGCAGACAAAGACCAGAGGGCCAGGTGCCGTGTTTTGTGTGCCAGGTTCTGTTCAGCACCCTTTATCTATGATCTTCTTTCCTCTAAAATTGTGTACAATCACTGTAGGCCTACAGTAGGATAGAGGCTATAGGGAACATTAGCCTTTTGAGCCAAAAGGGGTCCCTAGAAATGACCTGTTATTGGACAGACCTCTACGAGCAAAAGCATATATTGTTTCACTCATGTTTGCCGGATTTGTGTGGTTTCATGAGATAAGAAATTGTCTTAACTTATGTTTATGAACCCTACATCCAACATTCAAGCCAGAATCTGACAAACAATTAGCACCTAAACTTTTATAGTGTATCTTTAATGACCAAGACATACTGAAATTGTGTAATGAGTACTAATCAGTCATGAAAGCAGAAGGATGCTTTGGTTTTTTATGCTTATTACATCATTAGAGGATGATGAGCTCTGGCCCACTTTTTCATGTCCATAAAGTTGGATCAATTGGAGAAAAAGGTTTATGGCGTCAGGGTTAAATACTACCTTGACATCAATCGAAGACCAACTCCCTTTAAATCAAGTCTTCGACACAACCTTAGTTCAACATTTTCTACAGATACAAATCACAACCGAGCCCTACGTTGACTTAAGGCCATTCAACAGATGGTTTCTCAAAAAGTTCCAGACAGTGTCTCTATGCAGTCCTCAAGTTCACAAATCTGCCTGACGACAATGTGAGGTATTGTTGAACAACATGGCCCTGATAGCCTCCCCCCCCCCTCTTCCTGATTGCCTAAAAACCATCCTTCTGACTCCACCCATGTAAATGTGACTGGTCCTCGGCTCTATTTCACATGCGTCGGGAGGTTCCTCAGCACTCTTGAGACACAGAGCTCAAGAGCTTTATGCACTGACTTCCTCCCCCATCCCTCACATCCACAGCTGTCAGGATGGTCGTGGCCCTGAAGGGGGTCCCTCAGGCAGTGTCTCTGGTACGGGCTAAGATGGTCCTGCAAGAGAGGAGGTCCAGCATCTACAGCAAGCCGCCCAAGACCAAGATTGGACCTGGGGTGAGTGTTGCACTGAGGGACTCTCTGCTTATAGAGTAGATCGTACTCTCTAATTTGGAACTCACTCAATGTCCCAAGGAACTGTCGCTTCTATATTCATTCAGGGACAGTTTCCAGGGGCCTAGATTAAGCATAGTCCTGAATTTAAAAGAAGTTCCAATGGATTTAGATGTTTCATTGTGCATGGTTTTTAGTCCTAGGCTTAAACTAGCCCATTGTGTTTGATGTTTCTTTACCATCATATTTCAAAGTTAAAACTCAAACTTAATGATAATAATGTATGCACTTAAGGGGCATTTCCCAGACACAGATTAAGCCTAGTCTGGCACTAAAACAAATGTTCTATGGAGATTCTCCATTGAGTTTGCTTTTTAGCCCAGGACTAGGCTTAATCTGTGTCCAAGAAACCACCCTTTAATGTATTAACAACATTACAATAACAGTCATAGTACCCTGTATTGTCATCCTTCATATCTCCGGTGAACTCATGCATTTAATAGTGTCATCAACAAAAAGGAATACTAGAATTTTGCAAAAACTGAAATAACTCAAACATCAGGTAACGCTTGAGTTGATGATTGGTCTTTTAAGGGTTTGTGCTCCCCAAGTTCCAGTTTACTTTTACCAGACGGACAGACTAGTATTTTATTTGTCCTGCCACAAACATTCCATGTCTTTTAATTTAAAGAGAGAGAGAGATCGCAGCAAGCTCGTCTTTGTATTGTGTTGTTGTTTCACCAGGATAATCACGCAGTAGATTTTGATAAGGACACAGGGTAAATGTTTATTTTGCTGTGTCCTGCCATGGCTCTTCGGCTATGTATGCATTTTTGTGTGCTCTCAAACACAGCACAGAGACATTTTTCAACTATAGAAAGACTGATGTATTTCACACGTAGAACTGCCACGTGGATATCCCGTAAAATGTTAACCAAGTTCAACTTGACAGAAGCCTTGGTGAGGAAGGATGTGATCCATGTCTATTGATTGACACACCTCGCCATGCTTCTACTAGCCTATATTTTACAGTCTATTTGGAACACATGACAGACGTAAACAATTTAGACAATTCAGACATCAAAGATTTAATTCAGACGTAGAGGTTGAGACTGACTTTGATGGACAGACAGGGATGCGCCAGAAAGGTCTGAGCCGGAGCTATAAAATAAGCTTTCCTCCTGGCTGGAAGTATATAAAGGGTTTCTAATGTATAATGTATGGACACAATGAACGCCTCAGCTCCATGAGGGAGCTGCCTGGGATAGAATCAAATCGATCGCCCGGGGCAGGGGGCTCGGATGTGGATCAATGCGGCCTGCCTAGACACTTCCTCGGAAAGTGTGTAGTCTTTGAGCCGCTTAGCTGTAGTGCAGGGATGGGTAACTGGTGGCCCACCGGACGCGCTCCCTTTTGAAGACCCTTGGATGAATAAAATAAATAAATGTATAAATATATATTAATATACAGTACCAGTCAAAAGTTTGGACACACCTACTCATTCAAGGGTTTTTCTTTATTTTCACTATTTTCTACATTGTAGAATAATAGTGAAGACATAAAATCTATGAAATAACACATATGGAATCATGTAGTAACCAAAAAAGTGTTAAACAAATCAAAGTATATTTTATATTTGAGATTCTTCGAAGTTGCCACCCTTTGCCTTGACGACAGCTTTGCACACTCTTGGCATTCTCTCAAGTAGCTCCATGAGGTAGTCACCTGGAATGCATTTCAATTAACAGGTGTGCCTTCTTAAAAGTTAATTTGTGGAATGTCTTTCCTTCAGTTGTGTTGTGACAAGGTAGGGGTGGTATACAAAATATAGCCCTATTTGGTACAAGACCAAGTCTATATTATGGCAAGAACAGCTCAAATAAGCAAAGAGAAACGACAGTCCATCATTACTTTAAGACATGAAGGTCAGTCAATACGGAACATTTCAAGAACTTAAGGTTTCTTCAAGTGCAGTTGCAAAAACCATCAAGCGCTATGATGAAACTGGCTCTCATAAGGACCACCACAGGAAAGGAAGAACCAGTGTTACCTCTGCTGCAGAGGATAAGTTCATTAGAGTTACCAGCCTCAGAAATTGCAGCCCAAATAAATGCTTCACAGAGTTCAAGTAACAGACACATCTCAACATCAACTGTTCAGAGGAGACTGCGTGAATCAGGCCTTCATGGTTGAATTGCTGCAAAGAAACCACTACTAAAGGACACCAATAATAAGAAGAGATTTGCTTGGACCAAGAAACACGAGCAATGTACATTAGACCAGTGGAAATCTGTTCTTTGGACTGATGAGTCCAAATTTTAGATTTTTGGTTCCAACCGCCGTGTCTTTGTGAGACGCAGAGTAGGTGAACGGATTATCTCCGCATGTGTGGTTCCCACCATGAAGCATGGAGGAGGAGGTGTGATGATGTGGGGGTGCTTTACTGGTGACACTGTCGTGATTTATTTAGAATTCAAGGCACACTTAACCAGCATGGCTACCACAGCATTCTGCAGCGATATGCCATCCCATCTGGTTTGCGCTTATTGGGACTATCATTTGCAGTCATAAATAGGTTCTTCACATTGAAATGAGCCGGTCTGAAATTAGTTGAAGGCATACTTTTCTGGGATTTGTATCAGGGACATAGTAAAGTTAATTGCACAACAAGCCTTCATGCATTTGTAACACTACCACTGAAGAGAAAGAAAGGCTCAAACACAAGTTCCTTTGATACTTGTGGGTGGAGTAGTTCAAGTGACACTTGTATACTCAATGGAGTGAATAAATTATATACCACCAAGCTTTCCTTTATATTGCTAATTGAAGCCATACAAAATACAAATACAGCAAACTCGATTGGAGATTTGGACATTAAACAGAAGACATGTCAGCTCTAAATATTAGATGGCAGTAACATTCTCATTTATATTTTAGTAATACTTAAATCCTGCAGCTAAAATGCTTTACTACTTATTTGAACACCTTCATAATGTCCTTATTTAATGTTTTATTATAATGTCCTATTATAAGGCTTATAATATTATGTTATGTTTCTCTTTGTGAAATGTTCAAAGGACTCAAAATAACTGGTATTTAGTGAGGATCACAATGAGATGACAGTGGGTCATACATGCTCATGACAAGTCTTACAATGCCTTATAACCACATCATAATGCCTTATACCTGCAGACTTTAGATGAAGTGTTACCAATATTTAAACTGCAGATTAACTTTAGTCTTTTAACAGAAACGTAATTGGCTTCGAGGGTTTAGTACAGTAGTGGGTCAACCTCTGCATATGTATGGCTGGTACTGTGTCTCTTATTTTCTGTCTCTTCTCCTCTACTCTCCTCTCCCTTCCTCCCTCACAGCAAAGCTTCTTTATCATGTCCGTCTTTGCTGTCGGCATGCTTGCTCCGGCCGGCTGGATCATGCACCACCTCCCAGAGTACCGCCAAAGACCACATCCTTCATCAAGACCGTTGTAAAGAAGAAGTCATCACACACACACACACACGCTACAAACCACGGCTGTGTCCAACATATTAGCCACCATGCTATCAAATACTGTACCTTGCTACTGTATAACAACACACACACCTACAGTATAAATGATATTCAATGGCCACAATAATCACTGGTCAATAACATGCACTTTGAAGGGACCATGGAAGACATTTCTGCATGACTGTCATGAGTATGTTTTTGTACGGTGTCTTTTTTGTGTGAATATTCTGTTTATTGCAGTAGCATGGAGTCTAATGTCTCATGAATACGGCCCCTAATGTCACTGCGGCATCCAGTTGCAATGACACGTCTGTAAAACTGCCAACTCACTGCCATCATCAATAAATATATGCTGTGTTGGCAATATTTGCCTGTGTCTGTTCATTGCAGTTGCCAAGCTGAATTATGGTAAACTTAAGCAATAAGGCCCGAGGGGGTGTGGTATATGGCCAATATACCACGGCTAAGGGTTGTTCTTAAGCACGACGCAACGCGGAGTGCCTGGACACAGCCCTTAGTCGTAGTATATTGGCCATATACCACAAACCCCTGAGGTGCCTTATTGCTGTTATAAATTGGTTGCAAACGTAATTAGAGCAGTACAAATAAAGGTTTTGTCATACCCGTGGTATATGGTCTGATATACCACGGCTGCCAGCCAATCAGCATTCAGGGCTTGAACCACCCAGTCTATAATTATACTTATACCATCGTGACATGTGCATTATATACACTACCGTTCAAAAGTTTGGGGTCACTTAGAAATGTCCTTGTTTTCGAAAGAAAAGCAATTTTTTGTCCATTAAAATAACATCAAATTGAACAGAAATACAGTGTAGACATTGTTAATGTTGTAAATAGCTATTGTAGCTGGAAACAGCTGATTTTTTATGGAATATCTACATAGGCGTACAGAGGCTCATTATCAGCAACCATCAGTCCTGTGTTCCAATGGCACGTTGTGTTTGCTAATCCAAGTTTATCATTTTAAAAGGCTAATTGATCATTAGAAAACCCTTTTGCAATTATGTTAGCACAGCTGAAAACTGTTGTGCTGATTAAAGAAGCAATAAAACTGGCCTTCTTGAGACTAGTTGAGTATCTGGAGCATCAGCATTTGTGGGTTCGATTACAGAATCAAAATGGCCAGAAACAAATAACTTTCTTCTGAAACCTGTCAGTCTATTCTTGTTCTGAGAAATGAAGGCTATTCCATGCGAGAAATTGACAAGAAACTGAAGATCTCGTACAACGCTGTGTACTATTCCCTTCACAGAACAGCGCAAACTGGCTCTAACCAGAATAGAAAGGGGAGTGGGAGGCCCCGGTGCACAACTGAGCAAGAGGACAAATACATTAGTGTCTATTTTGAGAAACAAACGCCTCACAGATCCTAAACTGGCAGCTTCATTAAATAGTACCTGCAAAACACCAGTCTCAACGTCAACAGTGAAGAGGCGACTCCGGGATGCTGACCTTCTAGGCAGAGTTGCAAAGAAAAAGCCATATCTCAGACTGGCCAATAAAAATTAATTAAGATTAAGATTAAGATGGGCAAAAGAACACAGACACTGGACAGAGGAAGATTGGAAAAAAGTGTTATGGACAGACGAATCGAAGTTTGAGGTGTTCGGATCACAAAGAAGAACATTTGTGAGACGCAGACCAAATGAAAAAATGCTGGAGGAGTGCTTGATGCCATCTGTCAAGCATGGTGGAGGCAATGTGATGTTCTGGGGGTGCTTTGGTGGTGGTAAAGTGGGAGATTTGTACAGGGTAAAAGGGATCTTGAAGAAGGAAGGCTATCACTCCATTTTGCAACGCCATGCCATACCTTGTGGACGGCGCTTGATTGGAGCCAATTTCTTCCTACAACAGGACAATGACCCAAAGCACAGCTCCAAACTATGCAATAACTATATAGGGAAGAAGCAGTCAGCTGGTATTCTGTCTATAATGGAGTGGCCAGCACAGTCACCGGATCTCAACCCTATTGAGCTGTTGTGGGAGCAGCTTGACCGTATGGTACGTAAGAAGTGCCCATCAAGCCAATCCAACTTGTGGGAGGTGCTTCAGGAAGCATGGGGTGAAATCTCTTCAGATTACCTCAACAAATTGACAATTAGAATGCCAAAGGTCTGCAAGGCTGTAATTGCTGCAAATGGAGGATTCTTTGACGAAAGCAAAGTTTGAAGGACACAATTATTATTTATATTAAAAATCATTATTTCTAACCTTGTCAGAATGACTACATTTCCTATGCATTTTGCTATATTTCCTATTCAAACTCATTTCATGTATGTTTTCATGGAAAACAAGGACATTTCTAAGTGAACCCAAACTTTTGAACGGTAGTGTACATACATGATGTACAGAGCTGTGTCAATTAGGTTGTAACAACCATGCTGGAAGAGAAGAGCAGGAGGCTTTTGGATGTAAAACAGAAAAGTTCACCCAAGATTATTTAAGACATTAACAATTTTTGAAGATATCACTGGTTGCTTTCCGATTCTACACCCTTCTCAAAAACATTGGGTTTGTGTAAGCGTGGGGCTAGAGTGGAGTTTCGACCATATTTCTTACACAATCCTTTTAAATGTATGGCTCTGTTTGAATACTCTTAAAATGCACCTTTCCTTCCTCGTTTCCTTGAAGTACTCACTAATATGACTAGATTGGTGTGAGCAAGCTTTCCATTATAACCTTCACCAATTGCATTATGTCAGATCAGTGATTACTTCAAGGAAGCAAGAAAGGAAGGATGCATTTTCAGAGTATTCGACCGGGGCCTATGATGGGAGGTGAACAAGTGTACACAACTGTACACTTGTTCAGGGAGAAGGGAGGGGGAATCGGACCACAGCCTAGAATAGATCACACCACCCAAGCCTATATCAACTCCTCCCCACCCCCCTCCATCTCCCTTTGGGTGGTCTGTGCCGTGAGCCTTCTGGGCGGAATTCAACTCAACCCAGATGCCCTTGATAACACTCTTAACAATAACATTTACAGGATGCTGCCTGACCACGGATCATGTTTATCACCCCTATCAGGGGGACGAGGGAAAGAAAATTCCACCAGAACAGTTTAAGATCTGATCTGGAATCAGATTAGCCTATCCTAATGCTAACCTTAACTATAAAAATATATTTATATTCACTTTTATTTAAGCAGGGAGTCACCATTGAGACCAGGGAACAATTTCAAAGACAAAATAAAAAATTAAATAACACAACACAAATGTTCCAGAAAAATAATTACATTACTCAATAAGAAAATCCCCAATCAATATTTGAAATTGCCCGAGCGACACCAGAACCTCAAATTGTAATGTATTTTCTAGTTGGTTCCAGCAATGAGGTGCTTTAAAACTAAAAGCAGATTTACCTAGTTTGGTGGAGACCCGAGGAACCTCAAGAGTAAACTAACTGCAAATGTGTTTGGTATCTCAAGTTTTTATATATTAACAGTGAAGTTAGTTAAGTCAGAAGCTTGTGTAGTAGAGTTTTGTAAACAAAAAGGGAATAATGAAGTGATCTACGGGACTTTAATGACGACCAGCCAACCTTTTGATACAGGATGCAGTGGTGAGTATTAAAACTGTCATCTGTGATAAAGCGAAGGGAGCTATGATAGACGGCATCCAAAGGGTTAAGAGTAGTGGCTCATGCAATCTGATAAATGGTGTCACCATAGTCAAGAACTGGCAGAAAAGTTGACTGTACGATCTGCTTCCTGCTATTTAGGGAGAAACCCACTTTAAATCTTAGCTTTTAACTAGTGCATCCGTATGCTTTTTAAACATGAAATCTTTGTCAATCCAAATGTCCAGATATTTATAGAAGGGAACCCGATCGATGGGAGAACCATCCAATGAATAAATATGTAGTCCATCAGATTCAAATGGCGCCGGAGAGGATGGCTGCCGTTTTACAGCCCTCTAACCAATTGTACAATTATGTGTGTTTTTTCGCATTATTTGTAATTTATTCTGTACATAATGTTTCTGCCATTGTCTCTTATAAACAAAAAGAGCTTCTGGATATCAGGACAGCGATTACTCACCTCGTATTGGACGAAGATTTTTTCTTTAACAAGTCGGACGCGAAGGATATCCCCGTCATTCGCAGGAGAAAGAGACAGAGATATCGTGGACGTAGGTCGGGGTGCCTTGTAAGGATCCGACGGCGAGCGAGTAAACTGCCTCTTCCATCAATCCTATTAGCCAATGTTCAATCATTTGAAAATAAATTAGATGACCTATGATTACGGATATCCTACCAACGGGACATTAAAAACTGTAATATCTTATGTTTGACCGAGTCGTGGCTGAACGACGACATGGACAACATACAGCTGACGGGATATACGCTACATTGGCAGGATAGAACGGCTGACTCCGGTAAGACAAGGGGTGGCAGTCTGTGTATATTTGTAAACAACAGCTGGTGCACAAAATCAAATACTAAGGAAGTCTCGACGTTTTGCTCGCCTGAGGTAGAGTATCTTATGATAAGCTGTAGACCACACTATTTACCAAGAGAGTTTATCTATATTTTTCATAGTTGTCTATTTACCACCACAAACCAATGCTGGCATTAAGATTGCACTCAATGAGCTGTATAAGGCCATATGTAAACAGGAAAACGCTCATCCAGAGACAGCGCTCCTAGTGGCCGGGGATTTTAATGCAGGGAAACTTAAATCCGTTCTACCTCATTTCTACCAGCATGTTAAATGTGCAACCAGAGGAAAAAAAACTCTAGACCACCTTTACTCCACACACAGAGACGCATACAAAGCATTGTTGGTTAAGGGCTGTAAGTAAGCATTTCACGGTAATGCCAACACCTGTTATATTCGGCGCATGTGGCAAATACAATTTTATTTTATTTTATTTCTTTTTTTAGAACAACATATATTTAGTCTTGCCCGCATTAAGTACAAGTTTGAAACTAACCAGTGCTTTCTGTAAGGCAAC